AGGCGCCCAAGAGGTGCACTACCAACTCTTTACAATTGCCTGTAAATTGGCACAATAATCGTATTATTATAAAAGAATGGAATATCATCAAGAGAGCTGCCGATTAAGCCTTCTTTCAGGAAACTCTGCGCATACTAAACGAGTGGTCCCGCTGATGTTTCCTATCCTTTATGCAAAACGAGTATACTCATGTGCGCCTGGAAATCGAAACTCAGTCCCTGATGCGCGATCCTTCTATTTGAATGGAATGTCAACCCGGAAACAGCAATGCAGAAAAATAGATGACAAACGACTGAAAGGCTTTTGCAAGATGCTAAAAAGTGACTACAGCTGCAACGTTAATGTATACCTCCTGAAGCGGGCATTTACCATTTTCGATGAGACTCAAACAGCGACATGATATTCATATGCTGCAGTAAAACGTGCACTATGTGGCTAAATAACACTAAAACACCAGCAAAACTGTCACTCCACCTCCATTCATGTGACAGCAATTTCGTTAACTTGCTGCTGATCCTTGAGATTTTGAAGTGAAAAGTAGGGAGTCGAAAGACGTAAGCTTATTTTCCTCAAATACACTGACTGACTGATTATCATTATATAACGATATTATCGCCCAGTATACGAAGTTTGTTGGTAGGTTTTAGGCTAGTAGCCACACCAACGACCAAAATGCTTCCTTAAAACGTCCAAGAAAGCAACGTGGCCATGACTGCGTCTTACATCGACTGACTGCACCCGCATGGCGGGACGAGACGTTGACAGGGAGTGTCAGTCGTGCAAACTAAGTCACTATCTTGCAAACGTCCTTGTGTTCCGGTGGTTCTAGAATATGCATTAACTGCATGCCATTCATGACCTTTTTCGTTCTACTGTGCATCATGATCATGATCATAATGATCATGATCAAGATCATGATCATCATGATCATCATCATCATCATCATCATCATCATCATCATCATCATCATCATCATCATCATCATCACCATCATCAACATCATCATCATCATCATCATCATCATCATCATCATCATCGGTCCTTCCTACCTTTTCCTTCTCGCATGCATCAGTGAACTGTCTGACCTAGTACATCATCATCATCATCATATTATTATTATTATTATTATTATTATTATTATTATGTCCTCCTCATCATCATCATCATCATCATCATCATACTCATCATCATTATCATCACCACCACCACCACCACCACCACCACCACCACCACCACCACCACCACCAAAATCTCATCATCATCATCGTCGTCATCATAATGATAATAATAATAATAATAATCATCATCGTCGTCATCATCATCATCAATTTTCCATTCCTATCAGTCCTATCTATTTCACATTTCCGTCTCCGTCGATCGTTGCACGCTTGCAATTTTTTTATGGTTTGAAATCTGCAATTTCCGCT